AAGGAACGTACCGGACCAAAATAGTGAAGGAGATCATCGGCCGAGTGGACTGCCAATTCAGGTTGATAAAGGCTACCCAAAGGACGCTTCTGATCCCAAACCACGACAGGTAAGTTCGGTGCATCCCATACAGCATTAGATCTTTTGGCTGACTACTGGCATTCTCCCTCCCGTAGCTGGAAACCAACCAGAAAGAAACCCTGACGATCGAGCACTTTCAACCCATCTTGGCGACACTAGCAAATCTCGATCGCGACGATCCGAAACTAGCATTTCAAGCGGCTCGGTCCGTGGGGCTCTATCGACGTCTATGTGCATCATGTATGCCTAGGCACCTTAGTGGCGAGGATGTCGACTAGAAGAGTCAATTCTCGAAGGAGGCTAGCAATAACCCGAGCAAAGAGAGGAATGGACCTCAGCTTCCTCATGATGAGCAGCGATTACGACTGCTTTCCTTTGAGCAGGCTTTGGAATCATCGTGGGAACGAATGACTGTCGTGCTCAATGGCTGGAATCAATGCTCGAAAAGTAGTCTGGGCATGTTGGTGGATCTCAAAAGAACCGAATGAGGGGGTTGCCAATGGGAGTGTGCCATGTATTTCTTTACTGTCATGTAATGAACCAAACGGAGAACAAGACCCCGTACTCAAACGTAGTGTCAATCCTTTGACGAGGCTTTGTTTTATTTACAGAATGTCGTACAAAGCACATTGCCATTACGTGACTATTGACGACCTTGCGGACGTTCTTCAGAAAACAATGGAAACACAAGTACAGTCACATGGGTGCGTCACATTCATTTGTAGTTTTCCAGGAGATTATGTACAAAGAAGGATGGATCCAGGGATGGCGTCGTGGGTAGTGTCGCTAGCGGGGACAGAGTAGAGTGACCAGAATACGGTAGAGGTTCTGTGCGCGGCCACAAAGACAATTGGAAGGAAGGATGTATCGCTCCTAAAGTGGCTAGGGATATAATTTCCAGGATCTGTCCACGCACCCGGCATAGATTCCCCATGGCCGTTTCAACACGGGGCAGGAAGAACAGATGCTCACCCACTGTCTCGCAGGTTAAGTGATGAAACCTTGCAAGCCTCAGCTCCACCCAGTAGACCTCTTCGAAAAGAAAGAAAGCTGACATATAAAGGAAAAGGTCATCAGCTTGAGTGGCGAACGACAGAGGATCTGGACCCGTCCACTTGAAGCCCGACTGGTTATCGTTGTTGGGGTGGAAGAAACATTCCACCAAGGGGGACCCTTGTCCCTCGTGTGCTACAGACTTTAATCCATTCGGAAAGTCTAGCGCAATATCTTCGTGATCTGCGCAAAGACAAGGAGGCGGCGCCGGTATACAAGAGGACTCTAGCCAGATTGCGTGAAGGTCGATATCGAAGTCGATATCTAGTCTGTTGTGAGCACAGGCACGCGGTGAAATAAAATTATACGAACCATCTTGACCGAATTTGTCCATCTGTTTCAAAACTTTCCTGGTATAGTAGTTGTGGTGGAAGTGGCAGCAGCGTTTGAACTGGCAGTGACGGGCTGCTGGAGGTTTAATATAATGGCGGAGGCCAATCATTCTTTCCAATGTGGCAGACAGTGGACCAGTAAATTAGATGTTAATCGTTCAAGGAAAGAGAATCGACTAATGTGCTAAATTTTCGCGAAGCGTTGATCTTTCACCAGGATGAACGAAACGTCACCGTCGGCCGTATGGCCGCTTCACCGGGTATTCATCAACGCTGAGATATCCTCGGTGAGATATACCCGTCTACCGTCCCACAACACCGGCACTTATATGCTCTGCAGGGAGAGATCTCTTTCATCTAACAGCCATCTCTTCACTCTTGAAGCTGTCGACACAGCGACGTGGTGTTGTACCGTAGAACTGGCCCTAGCTACATCGGAAGGAGACCAGCCGGGATGAAGGGGATCTACTCAGGCTACTTAGTTCGTTCGTTTGTTATCTGAAAGAATCAGGCATTGATTTTCAGTCTTGCGCAAAGTCATGGTTGCTGAGGCTTAGCTTCAGATAGGGGGCAAATAGGTGCTGGAAATCCGAGTGGGCGCCCGTCGAACGACAGCTGGCCACGGAAATCTGGATCGTAGTCGGGGCTCGTCTCGTCGAGGGTGGCAACATAACGGTTGCGACCACCGGGTCTCGCATGTGTCTTCGTACAATGGCTGTTGAGGTTGTCGCGGCGTGAAAAGGCACGGTGGCATCCAGGCACCCAGCAGACATAGGGCTTTTCCTTCAAGTGGCTCCTTGTATGGCGCTCGAGGTGGTCCTGACGCTTGAAGCCCATTCTGCAGCCAATGATGTTGCATTTGAATTTTCGCTTGTGTATATCAAATTTCTGGTCCTTGACTTCCGGCTTATGATGAGGCTGCTTGCCATAATCATGACAGTCAGGCAGTGAAAGATCGTTTATGCACGCGCTCTTGTCATGGACTATCTGGGAATGCCCTGGTGGTTGATCAAGAAACCAAGGGGAGATACTGGTATCAGCGGGGATAGGACAGACTTCAGCAGCGGCGCCAAGATTTGCTGTAAAGCTCAAGGGCTCAGGAGTCGTTGTAAAAGTATTTGGAAAAACCAGCGCAGGGTCGATAGTCTGCATTGTCGAGAAATCAGCCCCCGGCAGCCGGTCAGCTACATTGGACATTGGGGTTGAGTCAATTCGTCGCAGCTGATAAAGATTTAATGGTGGCAAGTAAAGTATGGATGTCGATTCAGGGGAATGGTCTGCTTCTTGAGAAAGATAGAAGTTGGGAATGCCATGGTCTTTGAGCGGGATCGGTGTATGATGATGAGAAGCCGGGGAACAGTAGTAGACTTGGATGACTCCATGCTCTACCCGATTTCCACATTGCAGCGGAGCAGCACCAGTGTGGTTAGCCTTCCATATGCTGTCATCGAGGTTGGACCAGCTTGGCAGGACCTGTGAGTCCAGATAATGGAAAGGGTTTGTCGCTGCGGTTGGCAGCTTGACGGTTGAGAACTTGGTATCATCGTGCTGAACATGAAGCTCTGGGTAAGGCTGAGCCGGCAACAACGGGGGAAGAGGTTTCCTATGTTTCCGAGACATATTACCGGCTGAGGTTGGGCGTGTTCGATGTATTCTCAAGGATCCTGTAGAGCACCGGGTCTGCGTAAAAATCTTTTGAGAACCACAGAAACTTCTAGGCTCAATTTGTACTGAAAAAGATCACGATTGACCATGGATGATCAAAGAACGGTAATTGCGCATATGTACTTTGGCATTGGCCATAGTCTTGACATGATCAGGATGCAAGTAATTAAGACGCAGAAAGCTGCGTCAATACGGACTACCTTTATGATGCCCCTAATGCAAATGATGTCAACAGCATCTCGGATATTCCTACAACAAGAGTTGATTCCAAGATTTCTAGCGTCCCATACACAGTAGATTC